CACATGGCTGTGGCTGCGGCTCACAGACTCTGGCCACAGTAGCCACTACTGACCCACATTTATAAGGCAGCTAATTGCAGTGGAGCTCCTTGGGCAGCCACCCAGAAACTCCAGGCACACAGAACCTGAGGTCCAGATTCCCCAGACAGGGACACTGCTGTCAGTAGCAGGCAATAGAGGCTGGGCAGTTGAGTCCTAGCTGAGTACCAATGCTGAGTTGAGTCCTAACTGACTACCAATGCAGGAAGTTGCCATTTGGGGCTTGACTGCGCATAACACTGAACTGGTTCATGGAAAACGAGGTATACTTTAGAAACAGTTCAGCATGTTTAAACCATTTTAAACTGGTTTGTGCATCTGGATGCTTTAGGTTTAATTTGCACTTTAACCAATCTAAGTGTTACGTCTGCCCACACATTGCTAGTTTTCTCCTGCAGCAGCAAAGGTGTTTACAAATCAGCATTCCCACCCCAATTAATAAGAAGCTGAGTCACTGGTTTGAGACATTTGTGCTTTGACTCATTTTGGTGCACTTCTTTCTCTTTCACCATGACATGAGAGGAAACTCAGGCCACAGTTATGAATTTCAAACTTGCATTGTGCAGGGCATGGCAGTCACCCCTGACCTCAGGACCTTGATCTGTCACCCAGCATGTAAAAATTCCTACAGCCAGCAGTGAAATTTGCATTCAGTCCCTTTCTGGTGCCCACAGGCCAGTCACTCACCCTTATAGGCTGGGCACAAAATGCAGCTCAGGGCAGCTTAGGGGGTCATGTCACCCTGCCAGATCCATCACACCCTTTCAGACCATCTCCCATTTCCCCAGCCACAGGATGAAAGAAAAGAACAGAGGAAATTTTTTACCAGCTCTTTCTTGTTTATGCTCAGCAGCCTGGAGTTCTGACTGGAGCAGCACTGTTTGCTATCATGCCATGTCTTCTCTTTATTGCTAAAAAGATAACACATCTCTTCATGCAGTATCCAGCCCTCTGGGCAACGGTTGCATAATTTACCTTGAGAATGAAAACACAGAAGACAATACAATGTTGGGATGGTGGGCATGGTGCAAGCTGATGTATGCCTTGGCTGGTGTGTTTATGTACCCCTACTCTGTAAAGGGTTGCATTGTCTATCTGGCAGCAAGTAATAGCAACCTTGTAAACAGCATCAGCCACAGAACTAGAGTGTGTCTGACATGCAGTGTCTGACTTAGACCACATGGGAGAAGCCCATGATTTGGAAACTGTGGATGCCCTCTTGGTACAGGTATCCCATAGTGATGCATCTTTCTGAGCACAAAGCCTGTCTGCATATAAGACACCACCAGAACATGGATTGCAGGATGTCAGATAGGGTTTGTTGATGGTGCTGGAAACCAAGATGGCTCAAAGTCACTTAAAAGTGCAGGAGGAAAGGAGACAAAATTTGTTACCAGCAGCAGCCGGCTTGCACCTTACATTTGTCAATAGTCTGCTGTTTGTCAAGGACGTTGCTGTTTATCAATGAGATGTGTAGCCTGGTAGGTGAAATATCCTGGGAGCTGTTGTAGTCAAGGACCACTGATGATGTACCATACTGAAGACCCCACATATTTTAAAAGAATTATTTCTGATGTTCAGTGTCAACAGGTAGTTGGCACCTACGCCCAAATGGAAAAATAACTGTTTGTTATTCAGCAAGAACTGGTTTTTACTTTGACACAGATATCACAAAACATTGAGCTCAGATCCATACCTTTCCTTTTAACTTCATCAGAGAGCTTGTGGGTCCGGGCTTGGAAATCATCCCTTTGCTTTGTGCAGTTTTTCAGGGTTTCCTGCAGTTGAGTGAGGTTCTTGGACACTTCCTCATGCTTGATAAGTTTTTCTTTATATTTTCTTGCTTCATGGGAAGCCTGAAGAGCTGGAATCCACAATGAGGTCACCACAAACCCCTCAAAATAAAACTACAATGCACATTCACTGATGAGTTGTCTTTTACATGACAAACATGCCAAAGACTGCCTATATTTCACTCAGTTTATGTTCAAGTTAAATCAATTACAAAAGGGCTGCAACTACACATGCAATTAACTGTGCAGTAAACTAATTAGCGCTGGAGTAAAGCATCACCATCTACATATGAGATGGTATTAGGCTGTGTTAAACTAATTAACGTAATATACTACTGTCATGAACAGTATTATCCTTGCTGGGATAATTTACTTTAATTAATTGCACATGTATATGCTGACCGCAGGTACAAATTGCACCCAGTCAGTTCAACTCACTGGGTACCAGACTCCTGCCTTCAACCTAGCCACACAGCTCTGTAGTTTCAGCACACTTGTGCCACAGCTAGCCCCTCCACTGTCCAATGCCACCACCTGGAGCCTGGAGCTGAACCCCCATGTCTCCTGCCAGCCCAGGCCTGCCCAGCCCTGGCTCAAATTGCTGCTGCCCTGGGAGCATGTGTAAACACTGCAGCTAGGAGTAATTTACTCCAGCTCAAACTGCTTTGGAGTTAATTGGTTCACATTAATTTCATATGTAGGTGCACCCAAGTGGTGTCACACAGGTTGTTGAACCCCAGTGCTACCACACCATACCCTCTTAGAGGTAATTGTATACAAATGCCCCATCCCACCTATCCCTGAGACTTGCAAGTCAGCTTTGATGTGGACCTCTGTCCAGGTTCTTACATCCCAGTGGTGTGTATTGCAAATACCTTCTGGATAATATCTTAAAAATACAGCCTTTCAACAATCTCCTTTGGACTTTTGACATCTCACATTTCCATTTCTGCAGCACCTTCCTCTCTAGTCCAAAATTTGCAAACGGGGTGCACTCTGACCCTGACAGAATGGTGTAGCAAAGATCAAGCCCTAGCTGATTGCTCTGGATATGTCACCCATTTCTGGGCATCTCTCCAATGTCCTCTTCTCCCTCCCCCTGTCTTTGTTGTATCAAACATGGCCTGCTTGGTGCTTGCTTCACAGCTTACCCCTTGTCTAACTACCATCTCTCATTTGATATCAACATGTGAGCTACAGCCTTTAGTAGGCCTATGACAACAACCTCCATTGCCAGCTTGTTATAGTTTTGAATACTAACATTGTGGATTTCCCAATGCTGTCCTTCATGTCTTGGAGGAGCTTCCATAAACCATCCCCAAAGTCACCTTACTATTTCCCTTCTTAAGGATCTCATTTTCTCTCCTTCCCACCAAAAACTGGAGCATGGTTAGGCTGTGAGTGCTTGGGAAAATCTGCCAGTCATGAGGAATAATGTCTTGTTGCTTGGAGTAACCCCATTCATTGCTTTGTACCCAAGTACCTCTTATCTCCAGCTTTTTTTTTTTTCTAGCTTTTTGTATGGGTCCTATTTTCTTGTTCTATTGGTTATATTCGGTATCTCACACAATCGGCTCTTGGACCAAGACTAGGAGCAGTATTTTATTTTCCCTACTGTGGGTCAGGTCCTATTCCACCTATTAGATTCCAAAGTGGAATTAGGTGACTAACTGTGATCCTATTCCAACCTGCCTGAGCCCTTGAAAAACAGTTAACAAAAAAACCTGGGAAGGTTCTTGCTGTTTTTGTCTCCTGCTGGCTGCTTTTTGTCACCCATTCTCAAGGTTCAGGTCATGGAGCATTAAACTTTCTTTCAGGAAGTGCATAAAAGTCAAGCATGATCACATGTAAGTGTTTAAGTCCACTGACATGCATAATAGGCAGAACAAGATAGGGACATATGCATTTAAACTCAACTTCGATGCCTCCAAATTCACAGGTGGAAGTGGGACTTAGTGTCATGTTGTGTGGCTAGCTTTCACCAAATGTTTTCTTAGAATGGTTCCTTCCAAACCTTATAATGGTTTAGATCATGTGTCGTTCCCTTGTAATACTTACCAAGGGCTGCCAAGGTCCCTACAGTTGCTAGCAAAGCCAGGCAGAAGATCCCAAGAGTCACTGCAATGAGCCGCCATGGCAGTGATGGAGAATAAGATCCTAAGTGAAAAAGGGGAGAAAATGAACATGTATAGGGCCTGAACGTGATGTTCTCCTGAAAACTGGAGATCGATTGAAGCTCTTCCCAACACCTGTCTCCTAAAAGCACATCTCAGCTATCCAGATCTACAACCCCTCCAAGCTGCTATTTCCTGGCCACACAATAACTCTGACAACAGGTGAGAGTGCCTGGGGGACAACAGTCACTCCTGGATGTAGGGGTCATAGCTCTCCTATCTCAATGGTTTGCCTAGCCATTGGCACAGAGAGGATCCCTGACCAGCTATGTGCTATGTCCTTTCATGGTGAAGATAATTCTGATGCTACAGGTCTTGAAATATGATCCTGGGATCCTTTGGGAAAGGATCTGTGACTATGGACTCTTTGGTAAAAGGAAGACAGGAGCCAACAGAACTTCAGCTGCATGGTACCTCTGTTCTCTGTGATTGTTGGCATTTGCCCCTCTTGCAATGTAGAAGTGTGAAATCTCAGATCCAAGAAGGTCACTTCTTGTTTTCTCATTTCTGCTTGGTTATGAGTGTAGGTAGACAAGGTATGAATTTGTCAGCATCATGAATGACTGGTGCCACCTGAATCTGGGGCTGCCGATGGCGGCGGCCATATCACGGGGGGGAACCAGTCCTCCAAACAGCATTAGTGTCAGCTGTCAGGGGGGGCACTGGCCCCGTTGGTGGGGTATGTGCACCCCTGTGCACTGTCTACCAGTCAGCTGTGGTCAGCATAATTGTGAGGGAGCATAGACTCTTGTATTCAAATCCTATTTCACCCTTGCAGTCCAAGTGGCACTTACCTAGCTGCATATTTGTAATTTATGGCAATTACATGGCTTTTAGGTTGCATTTCTACCAATTGCAGAATAGGATTGTGCAGGTACTTGCTTAACTATCAGGTAAGGCATTTTGCAATATACATGATTCAGGCCATTTTGTAAGGTGAAAAAAATGCTGTTGGGTGACTTGGATATCTAAAGCCTGTGTGACTGTAATAGTAAGAGCTTTGCTAATAGCAAGAGTTCTGCATGCTGATTCCATAGTAAGCCAGTGAAGCGGCACGTAGACTCCTGCTCTGTGAGCGTAACCAAACCATGAACCTAGATAATAGAATGTTGTAATACAGTGAAATGTAGTAAACACCAGGTGTGTTGGATCATGACTAATCCCCAAATTCCTAGCTTGAGATAAGGTTATCTTGAGCTAGGGATTTGGTTATTTACTCCAGACTATATAAGATGTACATTCTTAAGTTACGATGAGTTCCTCAGCTCTGGCAAGAGTTCCGACTTGCGCGGAGCCCTGGCGCAGGCTATCACATCCCCAGGATCGAGACACTCCGGGGCCAGGGGAACCATGCAGGGTGGCGTCTGCCGCCTAAGGCCGATGTGAGGTGACCGTCCTCTCTGCTCTTTTCTATCACCTGCCTCTACGAGTATCCTTAAATAAAGCTTTGCAAAAGTGAAAACACCCGTGAGTACGTGCTTTGTTCAAGCATGGAGAATCTTCTAAACCCAGTAGTTCATTCTAATACAGTGTAACATATATTTTAACAGAAAATAATTTGGCCCTAAATTTCTAACTAAGTAGCAAACTAGAAAGTGTAGAACAAGAGTAAAAGGGGCAAAGTCATTGATTATAAAATAGATCAAGGCCTTGGCTTTATCAAGAAGCTGACCCCACTGGAAGGCAGGAAATAAAATAACTGAGGAGGAATTTGCGGACATCCTTGTAGGAACAGGGAATCCTGTGACAGAGTGCAGAATTGTGCTGAAAGAGCCAGGCTGGCCCACAGGTCCCAACCCCAGGAAAGTTATGTTTGTCTGTGGGAGAGGATGATGAAGGCCCTTGGCAGGCTCATGGCTCTTGGTATCATATTGTGATGAGAAGAGCTCACAGAGTGCATATGCTTGCTAGTCTCTGTGAAAGAGACAGAAGCCTTCACTTGTGTACAACCCCCAAAGAATAACTAAATCAAGATTTACAAAGGAAACATTTATTACAGGGAAAAAGTGCTGAGTGAGTGGCTGAGACCAGATACTTTCTCCACGTAATTAATCAACATTAATTCCAGGATATGCCTTAGAGAGAAATGGAGGACAGTTGTGGACATTCAACACCCAGTGGGAGACACTGTTCTTTCAGACTGCCTGTTTGGTTACACTGGGTTCATCTACATGAGACACTTTATTGTGCATTAGACTAATATAATTCACAATAAAGCATCACTGTTTACACATGCATGGGACTTACTGTGCAATAAATTAACCATGCATTAGCTACTGCTCAGTAGCACAGGGGGCCACAGCAGGTGATGGGGGGAGCTGTCTGCAGTTCTGGTACAGAGGTTGGGATCACAGCCCAGTTTAACACCACTGGCTTGGGGTGATGCTCCACGGCCAAGCAGTAGCAGCATCCTGAGATCTCCCTTTGCTTTGCATGCTGAGGGGACAAGGGAACTCTCTGTCACTCAGCTCCCCCAGTTCTGGTGCTGCTTCACCCCACCCACAGCTCCACTCAGCCCTGGCACTCCTTGGCTCCCGGATCCCACCAGGCATAGATGGGAGTGGAAGCCGACTGGAGAATACACAGGCAGTGGCAGTTCTTAAGAGACAGGTTGATTGTTAATTGTCAATTTTGTTGGATTGCCTTTGGAAGGACAACGTGACATGATCCACTTGGAAGTAGCTGCTAACCATTACAGTGCTGCATTAAGTCTAGTATAATGATAAGGAAAGTGAGATAAAATTCAAGGAAGAGATCTTGATGGAGCCAAAAATCATATTAGATGTGGCAAACCTGTGCTCCTGCTGTGCTTTTGTCCTCCTTTCTTCTTCTTCGCTGCAGAAGAGTGAAATTTGAGATCTGCATAGGTCATTGTCTGCTCACTCATTTCTCCTGGATTATGGGATGGAAATTCCAGAATTAGGTTTGATGCTGAATGAACATTAGAAGTTATTCCTTTAAAGCAGCATAACAGCAGCTAGCAAGTTGTTTTGGCAGCTTGTACTTCAGCAGAATTGTGTGTTAGAGCATTGGAATGAGAGGAATCATGTGGCATGGCAGCCAGTTGGACTGTGCAATGCTCCGGGTGGTGATTCAATTCAGAGGAGTTTTGGTCCAATTCGGTGGCCATCTCCAAATTGAATCAGGGGACCAATTAAAAGGTCGGAATCAATTTGATTTGGAGAACTTGGATGATTCGGGCAGTCCCCAGTAGCTGCAGCAGGGAGCTGTAACCAGACTCCCAGCTGCTAAGTACTAGGGATAGGGAAGCGGGGGGCTGGGGGAAGGATGAAGGGACCATGGGGTGACCCCTGCTAGCCCCCATCCCGTGCCCGCTCCCCCAGCCCCACCATGGCTGCCCCACCCACCCCAGCTCCCAGCCCTTTAAAGAAAAGCCCCGGTGCTCAACGGATGCTGCTGAGCAGGGGGGCCATCCCTGCTGCCCCCACTTCCCCACGCTGCGTTCGAGGCCAGAGCCGTGGCGGGCGGGGCAGCCATGGGGGGGCTGGGACAGCAGGGAGGGAGGTTGTGGGGCTCGTGCAGAGCCCCTCAGACAGTGTGGGGCAGTGGGGGGTAGTGGGGATCGCCTTCCCCTGCCCAGCAGCACTCAGTGAGTCAGGGCTTTCTTTTCCCCAAGTGCTGGGGCTGGGACTGACAGGGCAGCCATTGCTGGGCTGGGGGGGATGGGCCTGACTGATTTGGAGATTTGGCCTAATCAATTCGGGACAGTGATTCCAATCACTAAATCAAATCACTGTCCCCCGAATCAGCTGAATCTGAAGCGAATACTAGCTGCTTTGCACAGGCCTAGCAGCCAGATCAGTTGTTTAGCTGCAGATCTCCTGTGTTCCTTCCTTAGTTCTCAGAAGTAACACATACTGTATTAAGGAGATTTTCTCATCCAGATGGATGATGACCTGGTTTCAGATCCATATGTCTTTCTGCCCTCTGACTGGCTTAAAGCATTGGAGTTTAGCTGGGCCCAAAGACATGAAACTCAGGAAACATTAGCTCTTGCAGAATGTTGCAGGACATCTCAGTAATGCAAGCTTGAGTGAGCACAAAAAATCCTTCCACCTCAAGCAGAACCTTTGTCCATGCAGTAGGCAGAGCTTTCTCAATGGCCAGTCGAAGGATAGAATGGCAAACTTCCTCAGGTATCAGGAAACACTGCACACCTGGCCCCTTTCTGCTCCAAGACCCAGGGACACTTCTTGAACCCTACTGTCTCTAACATAGTAGGTAGCAGACACAAATGTCATTTTTTTAAAACTCTAATAAAGCTCCCTTAAAGAACACTATTGGATCTGTCTCTTAGGAGAAGAAAAAAACAAACCACATGTGACAGATGTGAATCACATGGCATTTCTGCAAAGGAAAAGAATTTGGATATTATCAGAGATGAGGACACTATCAAAATCTGTAAAGTACATGAGAGTTGCCCCTTATCTTCTTTACATCCTGCTTCCTATTGGCATTTATAAAGTATTGTAATTATCATGGGATAGGGTCAGATGCTCACTAGTTATGTCTACAATTACGTTTCCACTATGAAGTCAATTTGAATCTGATGAAGCAAGCTTCCTCTAACATTTTGGGCTTGCTCCCATATCCAAAGAAGAGTATGTTTACGGAATACTGCTTTGGAATGTTGGTCTGTTTGTTTATTTGTTTCAACAAAACAGAAACTTTATGGGCGCATCCACGCATGCAGGCACATGTGCTTGCAGCAGCTCAAATAGCAGTGGCACACGAGATTTGTGCCTTAGCACATGTGCCTGATCATGCACTTTGGTATGGGGCAAATTGTACCACTTGGGTCCTCCCAGATCTTCAGCCAGGGGGAGCTAGAGGCTGGGGCTAGCACAGGGGCGGGCAATTATTTGGGGGCAGAGGGCCACTAACCCAGTTTTGGCAACCCTAACCCTAACCACATGGGTAACCCTGCCCCGTGACAGGTGCCCCTCCTCCTGGTCACCTTCTTGGAACCAATGTCCTAATATCTTGAGACCAACGTCTCAGGGCCAGCACCCATGAGGCCCAAAGCAGGGCGCAGGCTGGCAGGGGGCTGTGGAGCCAGGCTGGGCTGCACCGGCGGGGAGAGAGGGAGCTGGCCCAGCTCCATCAAG